GCCTCACGAGCTGCTGATCTGCACTCACATCTTTGTTTCTGCACCTCTGTCGCCCCCTCGTGGCGCAGATACGAGACTACGTCGAGTGACGACTCCAGCTCAGAGGACAGCAGCTCCTCTGGGTCAGACGAAGAGGAGGAGGACGAGGAGGGGGGGTACGGAGGAAAGAAGGAACACCAGAAAGTGGAGGGGAGGAGCGCGAGGGAGGAGTTCCAGCCCGAGGGAGCAGAGGACGTGGACAAGAAGGATGACGAGGAAAGTTCAGAGAAGCAGGAGACGAGAGAGAGGCGAGTAAAGATGAAATCATGATGTTTTTCTGTCTGTAAATTTGATCAGTTGAAACTGTTAGAAGAATGACCTCTGTTTGACCTCTGTTTGACCTCAAAGGTATGAGCTGAGTGAGAAGATGCTGGCTGCCTGCAACGTTCTCCAGTCTCACCTCAGTGACTCCAAGGCCGTGACCAACAAAGACCTGGTGAGGAATCTGATCAGCTGTTTGTTAAATGATGTCATGAACGTGGTTTGGAGCGCAGCGCTGACCGGTGTGACACGCCCACTGTGCACCTGAAGCTGGGCCGTTTGTTAAATCTGCCTGTCGGCGTGCTGACGGTCACTTCCTGTCTGTGCAGAGAGGCTGTCTCAACACGGTGCAGCACGAGTGGTTCCGCGTGTCCAGTCAGAAGGCGGCGGTGGCGGCCATGGTGGAGGACTACCTGGGAGCTTTCACGGACTTCTCTCCCGCCGTGCTGCGCCACGTCGTCAACATGGCCGACGGCAACGGCAACACGGCGCTGCACTACAGCGTCTCACACTCAAACTTCCAGGTGGTGAAGAAGCTGCTGGATGCAGGTGAGAGACGCTGGAGGGGGGGGGGGCTTCATCTCCACCTCCAGCTTCGTTTTCTCCATTTCTACTGTTTGTTTGTTTGTTTTTGTTTTCTAAATGTAAAACATGAAGACAACAGTCCGTCTGTCCATCCTGTGAATCCTCGGCTCGCTCACTGGTTGAGCGCTGCGGGGAGGAGGAAGTTCAACTTTAAAAAAACTTTATTTAACTTTATGTGGGCACAAAACATGTTGAGGGACGTACCGTCTTTATTTGTTGTCTATAAAACATCTCAGATGTCACGATGGTCAGATTTCACCTTTTCGTCTTCCTGGTTTCTCCTCGTGCTTCGCCTCCGTTTTCCTCCATCCTGACAGTCGAGGAGGATTCTCCCTCTCTGTCTCTGCAGCTCCTGCTGTTAACAGCAACATAATTATCTGATAGTTTGACACAAAGGCAGCTGAGTGAACTCGTGATGCAGAGCCACAGATGTGGACACGGCTTCACGCTGGAAGACGATG